GATGGATGGATGGATGGATGGAATGATGGAGGATGGATTGATGGATGGATGGATGGATGGAATGATGGAGGATGGATGGATGAATGGATGGATGGATGGATGGAATAATGGAGGGATGATATAGGGAGACAGAAAGGGAGGAAATGATAGATGACTGATGGAGGGATGGATGTGACCCAGGAAAGATGGCACTATGGAACTCTAAACGGAGAGGAAGCAAAGGTATCTCCACCACCTTTGTCATACTACTGCCATTATTGCATAATCTTTTGGGAGAATGACCACTCTATTAGTAGGTACTTCATAGAGTACCTCCTCCTGCTCTCTCAAGAATGAAGGCCACGTAGCACTTTGGGTATCCAACCTTATTTTTTTGTTATTTTATAAATACATTTTTTTACATCATTCTTCATTTTGTGCATTTTTCCATCGCAGTTGTAATCCCCGTGGACTTCCCACCACTACTTCACCCATGTGCCATCACCATAGTCCCATGTGCCCCCCCACCCCAGTTTTGATCTTGTCCCCTTTCTCCCCTGTAGAATGTCTCTGATTTATAGTTGATAGTTGATGTCCTTTTTTACTTTATTACAGTCACTATATATATAATATTATTTTTCCTGATCCCTTAATACTCCTGCTATGTGTGAAACCATCCAGTATTTTTGTTTATCTCTCTGGCTTATTTCACTAACATGATCTTTTTCAGTTCCATCCATGTTGCTGCAAATGGCTACATATCAAGAAACAATAAAGAACTAAAAAAAAAAATAAGTTAATGCCCCACCTTAAAGAACTAGAAAAAGAAAAACAAAAGTCAGTAGACAAAAGGAAATAATAAAAATCAGAGCAGAAATAAATGAAATAGAAGTCAAAAAAATTTCAGAAGATCAACAAAATCAAAAGCTGGTTCTTTGAAAAAATAGACAAAACTCACAAAGAAACAGGCTCACAAAGAAAAAATGGAAGAAAACACAAATCAATAGGATCACAAATGAAAGGAGAAACCACGACACTGTCGAAATCAAAAGAATAGCAAGAGATTACTATGAACAGTTATATGCAAACAAGTTCAATAATATAGAAGAGATGGACAAATTCTTACAACTTTATAATCACCCAAGGCTTGACAGAGAAGAAATAGAACATCTAAACAGGCCAATTACAAGCAGTGAAATTGATACAGTAATTAAATCTCTCCCCCAAAAGAAGATAGTCTACTAAGATACTTTATTCACAAAGCCTGAAAATTCAGGCTTTACAAATGAATTTTAGCAAACGGTCAGAAATGAACTATACAAACTCTTTTCAAAAATCAAGAAAGAAGGAATACTACCAACCATGTTTTATGAAGCCAACATTAGACTAATACTAAAACCATACAAAGACAACACACAGAAAGAAAACTACAGACCAATCTCTTTTATGAACACTGATGCAAAAATCCTAAATAAAATCCCAGCTAATCGAATCTAACAATGCATCAAAAAGATAATCCATGATGACCAAACAGGATTTATCTTAGGGGCACAGGATGGTTCAACATTCGAAAATCAATTAATATAACCCATCACATCAACAAAAATAAAAATAAAAAGCATATGATCATATCAATAGATGTAGAGAAAGCATCGGATGGCCAATCTTGTACTACAGATGAAGAAACAAAAAGCTTGAGGTAGTGAAGTAATGTGTCTATTGATCACAGTTAGTCAGAGGTAGAGCCAGGGTTGAAATCCCAGCTTTGTCCCATTGGAGAATTTTAGCTTGTCATTTACAAACTGGTTTCCCTGTTTAGTCCCTACTCTACTGTCTTGGGAGTTGGGAGTCAACGATGAGGCATACATAGCTGAACCTGAAGCTACAACTGAAACATCTATAATGTGCCCTTGGAGCATAGTTTTGCAGACCAGCTGGATATCCCCAAGAAAGCATGGGGGATCCCCAATGTTAATCCATGCCAATCCATATGATTTTGCTGGGGAAGGTAGGTCCCTTCCAGTTATTACAGATAATTTTGCAAATTTTCACTTTTTCTCTACTTTTAGTAACTTACAGATGCTGTTTTTCTTGGGTGTTGTTTTGACTGTGAGAAACACTAAAGCTTCATAAGACCCTGTGTTCACAGTTTTCTCATTTAAAACCATCATTCCACAAATCCCAATTTCTTCTAAAAGAGGAACAGCTCTCACCAGTTAAGTCTGAAATTTTCTGTGCAAGGCAGTGACAAAATGGTGGCGAACTGGGCTGAAGAACAAACAAAAGGAAAAGTACAAATTTACCAGATAAAAAAGATTTATTTATTTCCAAAAATGTCTTTCAGGTGTTTTTTAAAGACCAATTTGCAGCAGCTGCTTTTTTTCTTTTTTCATGCAATACATAGTAT